GTATGCAGTGAGCATGGTACTAGAAGCTGAGGAGATAGAACTGATAGTTCTGATAGTACTACAAATATGATCTTTACCCACATGGGTCTCCCTCTAGAGGGAGAAACACATTTTAATAAATCACTGCACAAATAAATATGTAATTATAAGTTGTAGTAAATGCTAATTAGAAAAAGTAAAGCATTTGAGAAACTGATGATAGAGAAGTTTTACTTAAATTTAGGCAGAGGTCAAAGAAACATTTTAGAGGGAAGGGGTGTTATGAATGAGACTTCCAGGAAGAGATGGAGGCAGCGGTGAAAGAGCAAGGGGTAGAATGTTCTAGGTCCAGTGAGGGGAGCATATGAGGAGATCTCAGGTGGAACAGAGGTTGGAAAGAACCTAAAGAAACTAACAGTGCAGTAAAGCACACAAGAGAAACAGTGATGTAATATGAGGCTAGGGAACAATAGAAGACAAGAACTTGGGGGCTCAGGAACTGAAGACTGGTTAATTGGAACAAAGAAAAGTGAGGAACCAACACTTTTCCTGGTCTGTATCAAAGTGGTGCAGTTCAGTCACGGGATTTTTCTTAATACTTTTTTTTATGGCAACATTTCTTTAATGTAGTAAAGAAATGAACAGGTGAAGTAGAAGTGATGAGAATAATCTAAACCAAGAGTGAACGTTTAAAAAAGAATTTCTGAAAGAAATGGAATCTAGTTTGAAATGAGGAGGTAAGTTGAGCAAGTTTGTCTGGACAATCTGCTGAGTGACCGTGAAGCAGAAAATACATAACGATAGAAGATTCAGCAGAACGCTAATGGTACCATTGTTGTCCACCAAGGATATGTAGACAGTGCACTTGGGTGAGCATTCCAGAGTTGAAGACACATAGTGAACATTCAGTAGCTCTTGGAGTGGTTGATGTCTTTGGGATGTAGGGCTAAATGTCTCCTAAACAAAAGATACTCTTCCATTCTGTTCAAAAGGATGATTATCATCAGAAAAATGAAATATTAGTCTCTTTATCATAAAGGTATGTAAACTTATAAGATTTCAGGTCTTACTCCCTATACACACACACACACACACACACATGCGCGCGCGCGCACGCGTGTGCGTGTGATGTCCATGGTGGTATAATTAGATGACTTTGAATGATTTTCTTCTCTTTACCGTCCCCACTTTGAGTTAAAAAAAAGAAAAAGAAAAGAAATCCACCACTCATCAGTCATTGCTAAGCTGTCAGCAAAACTAAAAACATTATCTATTTTTCTATCACTTTTCCAATGCTACATATCAGTTCCCTAGTGAGCTTTCAGCATCTTTTTTCCCCAAATTTCTTCTGCTTATGTTATTGACAAGCTGCGTTAAGGCACAGCCTTTTTCATCAGTTCATAACTTTACACCATGCATTTTAGGGAAGAGCCTCCTCATCAGAAAATAACTCTTTTTCTTGAGAATGAAAACTGTTTGTATCAGTTTTTCACACTCTCAGTACCTTTATGGGTTGTCCTGCTTGAGAGTTCACCCCGAGAGAGAAGGAATCCGGTACATGCATTTCCCAGAAGATCTTTGATCATTGGAGGAGGTGACAGTAGGTTGAACACTTGCTATCTTGGATTTGTGTTTCAACCTAACCCTTACAGGTTCATCTGTGTTTGTAGCTGCTAACTTTACATTAGCTTCTACATGGATCTAATAGTATATTAATAACTTTAAACTTATGGAAACTATTTAACCAATCATTTTTATGAAATAATTATTAAGGCCATCATGTTAACCTCTTAATTTTCAATGTGTACAATCTTTTTCAAGTATCAGAATCACGGTGACTTAAAATACATTTATTTTGGGGCACCTAGGTGCCTCAATCTGTTGGACATCTGACTTCAGCTCAGTTCATGATCTCACGGCTCAGGAGTTCGAGTTCTGCACTGGGCTCTGTGCTGACAGCTCAGAGCCTGGAGCCTGCTTCATATTCTGTCCCAGTGTCTCTCTCTGCCCCTCCCCCACTCATGTCTCTCTCAAATATAAATAATCATTAAAAAAGAAAAAAATTAAAAATACATTTGTTTTCATCTCAATTAGACTTTATAAACTTTAGACAATGTTTATAAAAACATTCTTCTGTTTTAGAATATTTATGGCTTTTAACTCTAACAATTATTTATCATTCCCATGTTTCTGATACGCTACATGATTTTAGTATTTGAGGAAAAGTCAAAGTCTAGAGGAACTTTCTCTATTCCCATATTTTAGTATTTGGAAAGTAAAATCTTAAATGTGAAGTAAATACCATTTCTGTAGAAATTTTGTTAAAAATAATTTGCTGTAAGGCAAAAAGTATTTGTGAAATTTAAGAGCAGAATTTAAGAGCTGTTCTCTTTTTTCTTCTTGAATTAGAATATGCATAATGATAACTAATGTGAAGTTTTACTTAGTGATGTAAGTATTCAACTATAAGAAATATATAGACTGTTTTATTATGAATAGGAATTTTGGAAATCAAAGCTAGAATTGTTTTCATTACATACATTTTAAGGAGAGAAAACATGTTACTTTTAGAAACTGATGAGAATAGCCATATGCCTCAACATCAAGGTCTGTGGTTTAGAAATCTAAAAGGTATAAAGAAATGTGAAGGTAATACAATAAGAGTGTCCTCCACCATTTATAAAAATCAGACATGCCTACAGAGAACATTACCATCTGTAAAGATGGAGAAACCTCAGATGTTGTGTCTTAAAATATGCATATTTTCTGACATTTGGGTAGAATGATATAATTTCTTATGAGTGAACTTGATTCCTGACATTCACTTAAATGCTAATTTAATTTTGGTACAGGGATAGCGAACCTTCCAGATTTCATGGTTGTTGAGTTATCCTGGGATTCTGATAAGTGATTGGGAATAAAAAGGGCCTTCCTCTGAAGCCTGAGCAATGATGGAGACATGAGATATATTCGCAGTAGTTACAAACCTAGAAAGTAAACCTCTTCAGCATAATCCACAGCAAAGCTTGAAACCTCTTGCTTTAAGGAATTTCCTGGTTGCCTTAGGGAGAATATTAATCGAACTCTTTAGGCTTACCCTCCTTAGGAGACTGTTTTGCAGCCCTTGTTGTTTCTACTTTAAAGTCAGGAATTTTAAGTAGATTAGAATGAAGAACAGTGCAGTGCAGCATAAAGTTAACGTTATACTGTTAATAACATTCAACTGAATTATTAATTTCCACCAGAAGTTGTTTTTAAAATAATCAGGATTAACTGTAGGAATAAGGATTGTTTTCCCCTCTTTGCTTCCTTATCCAAAGAATAATTCATTATAATTAAGAATACCGTATAAAAACAAAAAGGGAACATAGCCATAAAAACTTGTTATATTAATGACTGATTGTGTTAATGTACTATAGCTGTCTGATTCTTTATTCTGACAGGGAAGGACCAAAAAAAATGAAATTGTTCCTATTCAAATGGTTGAGTTTTTTGGCCTCTTGAGAACCAGTGGGTTAGGGAACAGTGTTTGGGATGTTTACCAAAAGCGGATAGAATCAAAAGGTGCTGGTTTACTCCTCTCCCCCACCCTCCCCCCCTTATGGTGAAAGAGCCATTGGAAATAGCACAGAGGCAGCGTGGCCTGGGCACAGAAGCAGAGTGGCTGGCAGATGGTACTGCAGGCTGGAGGAGCTGCTGGCAGATGGCACGGACTATTTGAGCAACAGAGACACTTTTTGGCTACCAGTGCTAAGAGCTGGAAAGAAAGACCAGGACAACTTCTCCATGGTGTCAGCTTGTGTACGGAAAAGTTTTGGCAGAATGGAGACTGATAAAAGATACTCGATTGTTAGCTGCAAGAAGAGTGAGGAGATGTTATTAAGTTTCATAAAATGTGCTCCCGGTGGTGTGATTTGAACCTAGTTTCATATGGAAAGAGCCCTTCAGGGATCATCTAAACCAACTATGCTGACTGAATATTTGGATACACTTGTTCTGTTTTTATTACTGAAAAGATACCTCTTCAAAATTTTATAGGTAAGATTGTAGTTTCATGTAGGGATTAGGAGTGGTTCTTGATTGTCAATTTAAAGAGCCTTCAGCCACGTCTGGAATGCTAAAATAATGTGTGGTGAAGTCATGTTTGGCTAACATGACATATGGACTTAGAGCTTTACCAGCAAAAAGTATATAGAATTGGGTCTCTGAATTACTTTGGGGGTTCTGGTCATTACCACATGTATCACATTTGTTTTCTGGAGCCTCTGAAGCCACCAGAGCAAGCAGGCATTTAGTTCCTAATGATTTCATTGGGGCTGCTCCAACTTTTCATTTGTAGCTCTTTCACTTCTCTTTACCTCCTGTCTCCCTCATGTACCTGTTGTTAGATATTATGTTTCCAGAATTAATTAATTTAGGCAACTTTTACCTAGTAACTTTTATCCATAGGCAGTACTTTAAGGAAACCTATAACTGTTATTCTAAAATAATTATTTACATATAGGAAGAACAGTATTAAAAATACTTAGGAATGTTTAAAATGAAATATAAAATTGAAACACATTACCAAAATTGAAAAGCCAATTCCGAATACATTCCTAATAATTATTTCTCCCTAGCTCACTGAAGTTTAAACTGTTAGTCTCTCAATTATTCAGAGAACTGCCAAGATTCTAGATATAATTGAAAATGCCACTGAACTGAGATCAAAAGAAATCTGTAAGATATATTCAAAACGATGTCACCCAAGATGCCTATGAGCCACCAAAATTGCCATCGTTATGATTATTAAACTTTTGAGAAGGCTTCTCTTAGAGATTTTGGACTCTTGCCTTCCCCGGTATTCTGTCAGTCTTTGTGATCTGATTTCTGTCAGAATGCTAGAAGCCCTGATTGGAATAGAAGGCAACTTGAGGAAGCAAGAGGGTATGAAGGCACCGAGATAGTTTAGCATGAGGGAGAACCCATAAGTACTAGTGAATAACTGAAGGGTGAAATGATGTCTTCAAGAATTCAAGGGCCTGCTCACCTTCAGCACATATACTAAAGACTTGGAACGATACAGAGATTAGCAAGGCCCCCGCGCAGGGATGACATGCAGATTCACGAACCGTTCAATATTAAAAATTTTTTCCAAAGGGGAAAAATGTATTTCAAAAGGCCATAATTAAGACATTTAAAATTTTCCAAAGAACAGGTTTGTTTTGGGGAGGGTGCAGTTATAGGGTAAATGTAAGTTTTCTAGAAAATTTCCTGATTTATAAATTTTGATTCCATATTTATTTCAAAGAAAGAGCTTTGATTTTTAACCAATATTTTTCATAAGTTGGAAATTATATTTAAAGCCTTTGTGTGGGGGTGCCAGGGTGGCTCAGTTGGTTGAGCTTCTGACTCTTGATCTTGGCTCAGGTCATGATCTTGCGATCATGGAACTGAGCCCTCTGTCAGGCCCTGCGTTGAGCATGGAGGCTGCTTGGGATTCTTTCTCTCTCCCTCTCCCCTTCCTTCACTTGTGCCCATGTTCTCTTTCTCTCTCTGTCATAAAAATAAAATAAAAAGAAAAGAACCAAACAGAAAATAGATTCTTTGCTTAGAAGACCATGCCTTTCTAGTGTACATCCCAGAGGTATTATTTCTTCCTTGTCTCAATCATTTTGATAGTGATAGTGGCAGTGGTGGTACTATAATGGAAACTGCTGGGTCACACAAGCCAGGCAGCCCTCGTTCTACCTTAGTCTTAGGTCAGCCACATTACTTAATGTCCCAAGATCTCTGTTTTCTCACCAATGAAGTAAAGCAGTTGGCTTTTAATGTCCTATCTTATTTAATCTTTCAAGCTTTCTCTGCCACTCCGGGATACAACTTATTTAAAAAAAAGAAAAGAAAAAAGAAGAGAAAAGATTGGTATTGATTTATTTGGAAGCCATGGTAAAGGAAAGTAAAATCCGGAGAGCATACACAAACAGATGTTTGATTATCAAGCATTGTGAATCTTATTCCAAATTTACAACTAGACTCTTGCATTTCATGTCCGTTTCCTTTTCTGTGAAATGAGAGGATTTATTCAACCAGATGAATCTGTAAGGTTTTTACTGTATCAAATACTGATTTCTAGTTAAGTTCATGATTCTTGTTCTTTTTTTTAAATTTGCTTTTAATGTTTATTCATTTTTGAGAGACAGAGATAGAGACAGAGTGCAAGCAGGGGTGAGAGAGAGGGAAGCACAGAATCTGAAGCTGGCTCCAGGCTTCGAGTTGTCAGCATAGAGCCTGATGGGGGGCTTGAACTCACAGACCTTGAGATCATGACCTGAGCCGAAGTCAGATGGCCAACCAGCTGAGCCACCCAGGCACCCCTCATGATTCTTGTTCTTGTCCTTCTGCAAGAGGAAGCTCTCACTGGGGCATTCTCATCCTTTCTGTACCAGAGTCCCACCGATACATCATCCCTTTTTCCCATCTATCAGTCACTTCCTCTACCAGTGTGATACATTTTAAGCCTTTGCATTCTGGGATGAGAGACATGAAGCCTGCCTTATTCATCCCTGCATCTCCAACATCTAGCCAAATATTTGTTGACTGAATTAATGTAAACATTTCTAGCCATAACCCGACTCGGAGGGCTTTAATTTTTATTTCAGCCTCCATCCATCCATCACTTCCTGTCGCTGGTACAGATTTTTACCTCTTTTCCCCCATGGCTTGAGACCACGACAGTCCCTGCCTTTATAGTCAGGTAGACATCAGGGTGTGGGAGAGTCCGTCACCTGCCTCATTCTCATGGTTAATCATTAAGCATTAGGAACTGGAATTTCAGTCCGTTGTCCATAGGAACAAAGTTTAAAAGTGCTGTTAGCTTTGCTATTTTAGTATAGATACAGTGTAAATTAGACAGATTTTTTTGTTTCCTGGCTAAGGATCTAACCACTATTTACAACCAAATCTTGTTTCCCTGGAAATATATATTCTGGGTTCCAAGTAACTAGTTGGCAAATGAACTCTTGTAAGGCAGCCCATTTGTGAGTTGGAGATGGCCTTTTGGCAGTAGGTATAGAAAGGTACACCAGGATAAGTATGGTGTTGACTTAAAATTTGTAGTGCCTCAAAGAGAACTTTTCAGCTTGTGACAGAAGAGAGTATTCCCAAATCAGTCACTGGCTTTTCCCACATGTACAGATTGTCATATTAAGCAAAACCCTTCCAGAACACATCTACTACAGGAGCAAAGTAAAGTTGAGTTTTATAAAAATAGGATTTGAATGAGGGCTTCATTATTACAAACTTTGCCAATCCTCACTGTTTACAGTTCAAAAGAAATTTTAAGTGGGTTATTTTCATTTAAGCTGTCATCTGTGATTTGATTTTCCATGGGGTGCTTTTTTCATTTTGATAGTGCTTCACTGGGGAAATCTTTTGATAGCAAATAGACTGCTTCCTGTTCTATTTTTGTACCTCTGCTTTTCTGTATCTGAAAGCCACAATCATCTTTTCCCTGGTTTACTATAGTGTATTCCAAGTCACCCTTGTGTGTCCATCTTTAAGGTCTACCCTCATTTTTAAATGTAAACTCTCAGACAAGGGACATTGTCTGGTTTGCTTATTACTGGCTCCCTGGGGCTTAGAACAGTATATGCCACGTAGTGGACACTCGAGTATACAGGTGAATGAATTAAGTGGGTGCTTGGTGTATTGATGTAGATCAGAATTTCTCAGTCTTGACACTGTTGATATCTTGGGCCAGATGGTTCTTCATAGTGGAGGAGCTGGCCTGTGCATTATATGATGTTTGGCAGATTCCTGGCCTCTACCCACTAGATGCCAGTAGCACTCTCTCAATATGATAATAAAAAAAGTATTAGCAGACATTGCCACTGATTGAGAAATGCTGATATTGGCAGAAGAGTAAATCCTGATATTAGTATGTTAGAGTAGTGAGAGTCAGAAAGATATAGGGAATCCAGTTCTACCATTATAAGCTGTGTGACCCCACACTCCAACAGATTAATCTTTGAATCTGGGTTATGGTGACAGTTAAATGGTTGTGGCTCTAATGACCAGTGAGAAGCCCTTGCTTTCTAGACAGATCCTGCTTGTGGCCCGAGATAACCTTTCTATCAATCAGGTCCCCTCCTCGTTGCTATCATGTGCCTTTAGTGAGGGCTCATACCAGTTCAATTCCTGATGCCCTGTGTAGTACAGAGTTTCTTCCAGATGCCCAATATTTTTAGGATTTTGCTATATGATTTTATTTTGCTCTTAATTGATTGACCATTACTTCTAGCCGTGGAAGAAAGAGTGACTCTCAAGATGTCAGCATGATGAAGTGCTGACAATCAGAAAGATCCAGGGAATCCCACCACTTTATTTCTGCAATGTTTTTAGCTATCGGACTCTGATTACTATCTCTTCTGATTGCCTATTCTCTGTGAGCCTTGGTTAAGAGTCATTGTTAGAGTTAAGTGAAACTATGTAAGTGAAACACTAAGATCTGGGCACGAAGTTGGTGCTTACAACTGAGCTCTCTTCTCTCCCCTTTATTAAATTTCCAAAACCATCCATGCATTTGTATACATATTCATATAAATCATAACCCATGCACAAATCTATGGATAATTATTCGATAATTAAACATATATTTAAAAAAACATTTATTGATAACCTATTTAATAGGCCCTGGACCTGTTCTAGATGCCAGAAATGGAGCAACAACAAAAAATAATCGTATCAACAGCAATTATTAATAGCATAGCGGTTAGACTGTGTTCTCTATTGAGCTGTATATAGGTTAAAAACATTGAAAATTGCTTTATGAAGAGTTATTTCAAGAGTGTGGTGACTTAAACCATCATTTCATTAAAAAAGGTTGCCCTCATCAAAACAGTGTTGCCCTACGATGTGTAAAGCGTATGTTTATTTTTCAGAAGCAACATATGCAAACTATTGAAAGCCTGAACCTTGGACCTAACTGATTTTGAATTTTTAATCCTGACAAATCAGATTAATTTAAGCATTAAAAAACAACTTTTGGATTTGATCCCCCTTTCTGGTTTATTATACTTTGGCACACCCTGATTAGTCCAATTTGTGTTTGAGGTTTGTAATGGTGATAAAGTTCATTTCTGTATTATCTAGAAATATTTGTGTATCTTCCTAAGAATATCTGGATTGCATTGAATTTCCTCTCAGGGAGATGGGTGAAAATAACTTTTTGCAAAACATGACTGCATCATCCCTAAGCACCATTACAACATGCTTAATGGGCTGTAATAGTATTTTTATTATCTTATAACTTTGGCTCCCTTAACGTGTTTGAAGGTCTTTAAAATGCACCTTTGAGCATTGTTCCATGTGCTTTGTGTCCCCTGAATAAATATTATACCCCTATTGACTTTTTAATTTTGAAATTTGATAACAGTAATGAAAGAGAAATCCCTGGCCATTTTCTATGTTTGCCACTTCATTTCACATAGCTTCTTTCAGTTTCCAGGGATATATTTAACAGATATTTGTCTGTTAGAAGTGGGTGTTATTTGGTTGTGGGGGGACGGGGTGGGGGGAAGAAAAGAAAATCCAAGCACTGCTTTATTGATCTTTAATGGCATATGAGGCAAGCTGGAAGTGTTTGAGATGTTGAAACTGACCAATGTAGCCACTCCATCAAAGGCACATGAGAGAAGGGGCACCTTTGACTGGCAAGGTGTGCATGTGCAGTGTGTCATGTGGAGATGGATCACGCTGGAAGGAATGAGCACTCACGGAGAGAAACTTTGGAAGTTCTATCTTGGTTAGAGCATGAACATTGTGAAAGATACGCCACATTGCCCCCATCTGAGGGTGGTGATAGGCTTACATGAACAACTTCACTTGGGTCCCTACCCAAGTGAGTTACTTGGCCTAACTGGGCTCTATAAATGTCGAGGGACTGTGCTTTACTGTCAGTTAGTCTGGCATATTTTGTTGGGAAAAGTTTAAATTATACCGTGTATAAGTAATATTATTTCTTAAGAATTTACAGTGAGCCAAAATAGTTCTCAATGCTTTAAGAGCTTTATATCATTTAATCTTCACAGTAATTCTACTAGGTCGATATTAGTGTCATTATTATCTTTATTTTATAAATGTTGG